TGGTGGCTGAGGTTGTGGACTTGGTTGTGGCTGAGGTGGCCCATAGCTTGGTGCTGGTGCAGGTGGCTGTGGTTGCGGTTGCGGTTGTGGCTGTGGACCTGGTGGTCTTGGCCGAAAATCTGTATCTTCTAGACCATTTCCAGTAGGAGGAGGTGGAAATGGTATTGAAGGTTCCTTATAGTGATAACCATCTTCACGTAAATCAGTATCTAAATGCGATACATCTGCAAAAGTCCCGCATACTGCTAGTAGTAATGCTAGCAGAAAAAAGTAATTCTGAAATTAAATTAAATTAAATTAAAATGAATATTAGAATAGAGGCTAAATGTTTTATTTCAGAATATTGATATATCTTAAAATTATTTTTTTTACGATATTTAAATATGTGCAATCGTAATACCAATAAAAATAAATATGTTTATAACATAACTTCCTTATATATTGCTTTTAAAATTTATTTATTGCAAATATGCTGGTCTACCCCATTGATTAACTTAAGTTTTTACATTTTTTTATATTATAACATTAATATATTACTAAATCAAATTGCTATAATAACATGATTTAGAAGCACATGGGTCAATAAATAGCAATAGTGCTTTATACACATATATTATATATATTATAAATATATTAATTTATTAATTTATTAAAGTATTAGTTATACATCGACAGTAAGAAATGGTTTGAATAAAACTATGCTAAATATTTATTTAACCATTGATAATTAACAATGCTTCAACAAACAATCCTTGACATTTGTTAAGAATTTTTTAATTCTTAAATAGATTCTAGAAAAATTTTCTATCTCCTAAGGGTTTTGTAAAGCATTTTCTTTCATTTAACTTTTGATAAAATATGTCAATTTAAAACTAATATTTTTTATAAGTGTTATTTAAAGTTTTTATTGTTTTGTTTGTAAATTAAAGTACGGCTAAAGAATTTAAAAATATCTTACAAGCGAAAAATTTATTTCATTTTTAGTTTGAAAATTAATAAATACAAACTGCTTTCATTGCGCTAGATAGGGCGTAAGTTCAAATTCCACTAAAGTGTGGTCTAAACGCAATCTGTGAACAATTTGAACAAATGCTTAGTGGCTTTGTCTTAAGAATATAACTTCCATCATTGCTTTTTTCGTAAAAAATCTTCCATCTATATGGATCCTATCAGATATTAAATTTTATTGTATCTGAATTCGCTAAAAATCAAAAGATCTATGCGTGGTTTATAGTCAGCGATACTAACCCAACCAAAACTATCAAATATTTTTCTGATATTATAAAGTTGTGATCTTTATATATCTCGCTGAGCATTAAAAACTGCAACATGCGTCACAAAATACTCTCGTAGTTGAGTTCTTAATTCCTATTAATTATAGTATATCTAAGGAAAATTAGTATTTGCTTTCGCTCTATTACTATTCTAGTAATATTAATATTTTTGGACTCTTTTTCTTTTACTTTCTTTGCAACAAACTCATTGATTTCCAGCAGAAATTGGCTAACATTCCATGCAAGCTTTATATGTCATTTTCTAAATAAATTATTTCCTGCAAGTTATTATTGAAAGGATCACAAATATTTTTGTACAAAACTTAACTGTTTTAGATAAATAGATATTAATTTGTGTTCATTCAATTTTTCACACTCGTTCATGTAAATCCTTGAATTTTGTCTATTATTGTTTATTTGATATTTGTTAATTGATATCAAATATTGATAATTTTATAATAAATATAGAATCTTTAGCATGCACTCTCTTTTAAAATGTGAGTATTTAAAACGATTATTTATCAAAAGTTAAGTATAAATTATATTAAATAATATAGTTCATTAGTTCAAAATTATTTTTATAATAAAGAGCAAGCACTACAAATTCAATCAACAAAGTAAATCAATATAACGTCATTCATCTTAACAAAATCTCGGTTCATCAAAAATTTAAACATAACTGAGTACACAAAAAGGTAAAAAACGTAATTGCAATGTAAACAGTTTCATCACGATTTTTGCATTTTGCAAAACTGAGACCCTTGTCATCTTATCCAACAAAACGAACGCAATCCAACCACACTTTATGTAGGCACCAATCTTGGAACTTAGTGTAACAAAGTATCTATTCAGCGCACAATTCATGCATTTTCACACAAAGTTAAATGCATTTTTTTTTAACTCATGTGACAATATTAAACAAAAATATCTCAATTTTGGTCTTTATTTTTTAAATGTCATAACTGTTGAAAATTTGTACATAAATCACATTATTCATATTAAATAATATTTTAGGATGTTTTTGCATCTGTAGTTCACGTACTTCATATACCTTTATGGTTTTTTTTTCTTTTTGTCAGATTGCAACAACTTCACTCACCATTGTAGACAATAGCTAAGTGCTTGGTTTTTTAGCCTAATTTTCCGGCCTTTTTACACAATTTTAGTATTTGGTTTCACTTTGAAGCACAGCACACGCGTTTCGTTTTGAAGATTTTTATTTTTCAAGTGCTAACGTTAGCAAATTCAAGATTCAAATGATGCTGTGCCGAGCTCCCTTCGCAAATTTATATGAAAACTTAACTAGCGCCCAACAGAAAATACAAATCAGCAGCGAGCTCAATTCGAGCCAGGCTTGAGTTGTTTGCTCTAAAAGCTAACACTTAAGCCACTGAACTATTGACTCGCTGAAAGCTCAAAAGTACATATCTAACGAATATTTAAGCTGCAATGAGAAAATTTAAAGTTTTTCTAAGCTCGACTTAGACAGTCTTCAATTTTTACAGTCTTCAAATTATATTCGTTTTACAAATTTTTAAATTAATTGAAAATTTTAAAAGAAAAAATTCGTAAATCTGTAAATCTGTAAATTCAAATCAATGCATTTAAAGGGCCTCAACGGTTTTTATTGTATTTCTACTTAAAAAGAAACACCTTGACACGTCATGAAGTTTTTTTTTTTATTTTTTTTATAAACTTATTTTAATATTTGCTGTACACTTTAAAAACATTTTACTTCAACAGTCAATATTTTCCACTTTTGATGGATTACTAATTATTTATGATTTTTCTTTTGTTCTTAAATAAATATTTATATAAAAAACAAATGTATTTAAATATGTTTTTATTCATTTTCTGTAACACAAATGCATTATATCTTATGAGGCTATGAGGCTCTAACTTTGAGTTCCCAAGCAATCGTTGACATAAAAAATTAATGCTGTTTTTGAAAACTAAACATTTTGTACATCATAAAATTCTACAAATTCCAATAAATCCAAAAGATTTGTGCAAAATTTATGAGCCATGATGCAATAAATATTAACACTATTTACCGACACAAATATACATTTGCAAATTCTAAAATAAAAAACAAGTACATAAATAAGAGGTTTGTCAAAATGTTGTAATAAAAGTTAATAAAATGCATTATAAATTTTTTAATTAATAAAAAAAAAACTAATTAAATATTGTATCAAAATATTTGGAAACAGTGAATATTGACATGTAACCCTTTACACGTACATAAAAATGCCTAGTATTTACAGGATTTAGCGTTTGAAGTATTACCAACTACACACAGATATATTCGTATTCGTATTCATACGAATGACAACTGTTTATATTGTTTTAAAGCTACCACATGTATTTGGGTCTAAGTTTTATAGATCAAAAATTACATTTGGCTGAAAAATCACAACCAGCTAATATTCGTGAGCTAAAATACCTCAAAGTATATAAAATGATTGCGTACCCTTACCATAAACAGTTATAATAGTACAGGCAGCGTCGCCAAACGCTATGGTGGTGGACCAAAAAAGAGAGCAACATCAACTGATTCCGATTCGGTTGTAAACAAACATTATTTTAGTCGTAGACCATAAACGTTCCATCAAGACTCCACAGCGTCTTATAAAGCTCGTGTGAACCAAGAATGATTATAATGGCTAAAGTCGTTATCGTGAAGTTCTTACAGGTTATAAGTAATAATACAACGATTCGATCTTTTGTTAATTGAGAAAATAAATATTAAATGTATATATTCCTCATGGTGGTTAAGTAAGATATTTTGAAATTCATTAGACGATAATTTTTGAAACAAAAAATATATTAAAGACTTAAAACAAAATAAATTATATGTTAGTTTGTATATCTCGCAAGTTTTAAATGACAGCTGTAAAGTATCGACTTCATCCGATGTTTGGTTAAATTTTTGCAAATATTTAAAATAATGCTCCTTAGTGTTTTTTTATAAATTGGAAAATATTGAATATAGTTCAATAATAAAATTCCTCTATTTCAAAGGAATAAACAATGATGCAATTGAATTGGAAATGGATGCTGTTTACGGCAACCTTGCACCATCATAAACAACAATAAAATGTTGAAAAAATAATCTAAACGTGGTGATATGAGTGATTTTGATGAAGAAAGTTCAGGTCGTACTAAAGATATCACAATTCAAAAAAAAACATTGATAAAATCCACGATACTGAGTTGAATGATCCTAAAATTAAATTGCGCCAAAAAGCACAGAGGACAACCATATAAGAACATGCATCTAATATTTTACATGAGTATTTGGATACGAAAAAGTTTTCGGCAAGATGGGTTTCGCGTTTGCTCACAATTGACCCAGAAACCACAACAAGTTTGATATTCAAAACATTGTTTGGAAATATTTATACACCATCTAACTGACTGTGAGCATCGTGTAATGATAATTCATAAAACACGAATCCATTACTTCACACCTGAGGGAAAACAACAAGCCCGGGGTAGAGAGAATGGGTAGAGCCCGAGGGTAGTGCTCTCAAACGAACTCAGCAATTGGCTGGAAAGGTTTTGGTTTCCATATTTTGGTATTGAAGTGGAATAATTTTGAAATAAAAAACAATAACATCAGACTTCTATTGCATATTATTGAATCGATTGAATGAGAAAATCAGGAAAATACGCTTTTTGTCGAGGAAAATATTTTATTTTTACAGTATAACTCACCCGCTCACACTTATTTGAAAACCATGGCGAAATTAAATGAAATACGGTACGAATTACTTCCTCACCTACCGTATTCCCCAGATTTGACTCCCAGTGATTATTACTTATTTTCAAACTTGAAAAGATGGCTCCAGGAAAAGAGATTTGCATAAAATAATGAAGTGGAATGGGAAACTGAGATATATTTTGGAAGACTTGATAAATCTTATTATTTAAAAGGTTTTCAAATGCTGAAAGATCGTTGAACTCGGTGTGTGGAGCTAAAAGCAGACTATATTAAAGTGTAATTTTCGGGTAGGAATCAATCTACCTAGTATTGTGACACATTGTTGGCAGTAGAATATCGAAATATTATAGTAAGATGAGTCTGAAGCTATTAGATTCATTGTTGATGCTTTTGGGTTTGTGACAAATGTACTTATACACAATGACTTAAATGTAGAAAACACCAAAAAGTAAATTTGATTAATCAAAAAATTAAATAATCATGTCAAGACTGAGATCTCCAAGATAATTGGTTTAATGGGTAAAAAAAAACATACTCTTTTTGTTAACTTTTATTCAATTTATTTATTAAATCTCTGATGTTATCGCTATTTTTTGTTTTTTTTTGCAACAATTTATCAGATAATTTTATTCTAGTTTTATTTTATTCGACTTGTGTTCTCTTTATCTAAATCAAGCACTTAAAAATATATTCTTTATATTAGTGTATGGAAGTATTTAATCATTTTTAATATAACAAACTTAAAATTTTTATAAATTAACAATAAAATTATAAATGCTTTATTTTCTTTCACTTACAAATACTAAAAACTTTTCTTTGAAGATAATTTTCTGAATTTCGTTACTTTTAAAAACATTACACAAAAATTTTCAAGTAAAAAATGTCAACCTTTGCATTGTTAGTAAAATTTTTTCAAATTTTTGATTGATTAAATTGCATTTGCAGCATTTTGAGTGCAATTTATTTATTATATCTCATTTAAATATTAATTATTAAATTTTTAGTAATACTTTAAATTTCATTTTTATTTTAAATTTATCAACTAATGTTAACGTGTATTCAAATGTGTGCCAATATTTTATTTTAATTTATTATTATAAGTTTAATGTTTTATTCAATAATTTCCTTTAAAAAATTGCAATTCGTTTTAGTATTAAAAATTCTTTAATTATTGTTTTATTATTTGCTAATGTTTAACTTTTCATTTATTTTGTTGCTCTGGAAAAAAATGTGTTCAGCAATTTATTTTCCACGATAGATTTCAATAATGCGATCCTGATCAACGTATTCAAAGATATGTGGAGCATCCATCAGAATGCCAACAGTGCCAGCTGTGGTGACTATAAAAAATATATATAATTGTAGACGATCGATTACCATAGCAACATATTTCCAATCCTCGCGAGTCTAGAATATTAAGCAGAATAAAAGAAATTTCGTTTTTTATATATAATGGTTTTTAAATAAGTGTGATTATATATATAAAAGGGATGGTAACTATTTTATGTAAATATAAATTTTTACTTGTATATAAAGATCCTCATTGCGCAAATGTTCAGCTATAAACTCTACAGCTTCTGTGGCTTTGCTTGCCTCTGGTGATAAGAGAATTGAATCTGATGATTCACTTTCTCGTCTGCATTGATCACCAATTCCTAATTCAGCTCCACTATTAACTTTACGATTTATTTTGCAGTTGGGATGATGTAAATCGGATAGTTCCATTACTTCCATTTTGGATTGCTTTCCACCAATGGCACTTCAGAAAAATTATAAAATAAAAAAGGCTTTAACACAAATTATACTTATTATTATTATATTTATGGCTTTTTAAGCTTTAAAAAATTGTGAATTATGTGAAAGTACCTCCTCATTAACAAAAGAGTACATGAGACACTCTTTAGTAAATATTTTAATGCCAGTAGATGGCACTATATTTCAATCTGAAACAACATGTATGTCAGAATGACTACAAAACTGTGACTGATATTTGTCACTTCGAAAAGTACTAAATTATAAATGAAAGAGAAAATTCAAATTTTATGAGTGGATTTGATTGCAGATTGCAGTATTATAAGTAAATTTTTCCACTATACTATAATGTCAGTATAGCCTGCTTATTTTCCGGGTGGTGCGATTTATCAACGAACTGCAAAGTTTCAAGTAACTTTATACTATATATCGACATATAATATAGTAGTATATAGTATAGGTATATATATACATTTATATGGTATATATTATCCATTGATCAAACTTACAAATAACTTTCACAAATATATAATTGTTGAAAACAAGATGTAGATACAACATCTGACATTTTTCGTATAAAAATTTGTGGTGTGAAAACCCGATATCCAAAGAAATAATTTATATCAAGATACAGTGAAATAAAAAAGTTGCCGAATATCTTGAAACTTATCCAAATCCCTTGCAAAATATTAAGTATTATTATGTATATGTATATAACATGAATTAAGAAAATATTTATCTTTCTGTTATGGAATCGAGAGAGTGTGCACATTCTGGAAGCTAAGAAGTTCTTATAATGGTGCTGTAATATTATATTAAAATAATAGTCTCTATAAAAAACCCTGTTTCTTTCTGACTTCAAAAAATAAAATTAAATAAAATTTTTGTGAAATAAAATATGAATAAAATATGAATAGATATATTCATTCAAGTTTCCAATTTTGTTTAAGCAAATCATGGGGTAACATTCACATAACTTTCTCTGTACTAAGTTCCTAAATTATGTTCTATACATAAGAAAAAATAATATAAAAACATGCAATGCCTCTACAAAAGCAATGTACTGAAATTTAACAATTAAAAATTATTACAATTAATAAATTCAATTATTCTATAGCTGGTTTATAATTTAGTTCTAATATTGTCAATGGACTTTCAAAACAAATAAACAAACGTCCAAGTTAAAACATACAATTTAAATACGGCTTTAAGTCAGTTGGTTAATTAACACTGACTCTGAGTTTTAAAATTGGCAGGGCATGAGTTCAACCCTTTATACTATCTTACTTCATAGTTTGTAGCAGTTAAGGATTCTCTAAATACTTAAGTTTTTATTTAAAGGGGTTCGATTTTCTTAATTTACATAAATTTTAATCGATTACTCATTTATAAAAATAAAGACATCTCCTGTGGATTTCTTATCCTGAGTTTCAAAACAGACTAAGTCAGCTAAAGGCATTAATTTATTCATCATTAATCTTAGTAATGCTTAAAATCTAACAGTTCAACAATTTGTATTTCTTAACACAATATTTCGAAATAAAAAGAAAAGTAAAAAACCGGCAAAAGCATTACTCAGGAAAATCATATACTGTACGTATAAAAATTTAGAAATATAATAGCGTTCAAAAATAAAGAAATTGACTTATCGAAAAGTAGGAAGTAATACGAAGAAAAAAGTTGAAAGTAGTAAGATAAATTTCCAATATCTTTGTTCAAATACATGATGCCAAAAAGAAATGATATTAGATTCTTATGTCACATTAACAAAACCTTTGAACTGTAAATTATTTGCCGAAGATATATGTTTATAATATTTTATAACTTCATACTGATAGTACTAATAATGTGTGAAAAGTTTTTCTTATGTTGCACTCTTTTTACCTAATATGTTTGGGTAGCTCTGCCGGAGATCCATATGATGGATGTGGATGAGCTGGCATACTCATACCAGGCATTTCCATCATCCAACGCAAACGTGTTTTTCGTGGACGTTTCATAAATAGTGCAGCGGGCAAATAATGTAAAAACACACTACGTATCCACATTGGCATTCGATGAGTACGCGGACCACGGAAATTCCAATTGATAATGACTACAGTAACCAAAATAGACACTGTGTTCATGATGAAAGTGAACAGCAAATATTTGGCAATTAGTGGAAGCACTAGTGAGGTGGGCGGTAATATCTTTGATACAAGCAACAGGAACACAACCAGTGACAGGAGAATGCTTATGCCCAATGTGACCTTAAATATACAAATTAAATTTGTTATATATATTTAAATTAACTAAAAAAAACATACCTTTTCACCAGCCTCTGCTGGCAGATAGAATACTAAAACACAAAGGAATGAGATCAACACCGTAGGAAGAATTAAATTCACAGTATAGAAAAGAGTTTTGCGTCGAATTATTATATAAAATGTAATGTCGGTTTCAGTAGGATGATTGCCATCACCCTCATAAACGTTTAGATATGCTGGTACTTCTATTATATCCCAAGTACCAGATTTCCAATAATCTGATAGATCCACGAAATTTTTGTTGTTATAAAGTGCCAATGAAACTTGATCACCATTAAAAGTCCATGAACCAAATTTCATAATACAAGTTTGTTGATCGAATGGAAAGTATGTGACATCAATTGTGCAAGAACTTTGGTATATAGCTGGTGGCACCCATAGTACTTCACCCGTTGGATAGATTAAGACGTTGGACTTATAACGCACCTCGTAGTTACCATCAGCGCTGTTGTAGGCAAAAAATGAAATAATAAATATTAAAAAAGTTCATAAGATAATATAGTAGAGAGTTTTCGCTGCTACTTAAACATTTGTTTGCCGCAAGAAAACACTCATTTCTTTGTTCTCAACAAAGTTGTTTATGTTATTATTATTATTATTATACGATGTACTCACTTATTAAACAATACAATATCCGGTTTCCAAACCTTATCGGGCGGCAAACGCAATACGCCTATACCGCCATAATCAGCCTCATCCCATTGCAGCTGATAATCGTACCAAACCAAACGTAACCAAACGTTTGATTTCATAATTTGATTTTTCTCATTCTGGGTATTTCGGAAGAGAATTGTAATTTCAAATGCATACAAACGATTTGAGAAAGGGGTTTAGAGAGTTGTTATCATTACAAATTTTATGTCGTTTACACACACATAAAAAGATAAATGAAGTTTACAGAAAAAAAAAACAATTTTTTACAAATATATTTACACAAAGCAAAACGGAACTAAAGCTTTTCAAACTGAAATCGTAACTAACAAACAAAAGCCTTTACATATATACACGTATTTATGTATATTTACATATAAGTTTCAGGACCCGTGTCAAACAGGTGTCACGAGCCAAAATAATAAAAATCATGAACTGAACACATTTGTACATACGTAAAAACACATTCATTATTGCAGTTGCATTTCAATTGCATAAATTGCTTAAAATATCTGGTGTGTTGCTATACGTTTATGTACTATTTGCATATGTAATTATGTAGAAGTTAGAAGGATTTTGCACACTTACGACATTGATTAGCTGTACGAACGCCAAACCAAATCTTACTCCAACTTTTTGTGTCATATTCTGAACGGGTCGTATGAGTTTGTTATACCCTCGAAAGAGGTCACGTACCAAGCGCTCTTCATCTTCGGATGCACTTACTAGAGATAAACAATACAATTGACATAATGCAAAGAAGTTTTTGTTTTATGAGATTATTATGATATATAAAACGAAATTAAAATATATAACAAATTTTGTATGTACAAACTTTAATCTTATTTTTTAAATAAAATAAAATGAAATACATATCAAACAAAAATATTATGAAATGATAATATTGACATTCATGTGTTGGATAATGGCAGTCAGGATGGAATTGGGATGCAAGTGTGGATAGTCTTTAAGGCGATCTATGTTAGAAATGTTGACCTTATATAAGGGCTGTGAACCGATAATGAATCAAACTAGTTTTTATGCGGTTTTTTTTACTTTGTTGAGTAACAAAACCGATTTTTCGATTCTGTTTGATTAAGTTAATAAGTCATTTTTGAAGAAATGATTTAAAATATTGAACCTCTGAACTGAATCACTTTAAAATTTTATGCGGTGCACAACCCTGTTTTATAAGTTATATGTATAATATTTATTTTTACAAAAAAAAATATATTCTTAAGCTCCTTTTGAAATATAATAAAATCTTTTCTAATGATGCGAAATTATATGTTTCTAGACATGCAATATGGGTTTTAAAAGATATTTTATATATAAAATGCATTCCTATTTGCTATGTAGGAAACAAATCTTTATTATTTGATATCATTTAAACAATGTTATTTTTCAATAAATATCACTTCTATGTTTGATCGTTTAAGTTTTGAAAATTTATGTATTTAATTCTATTTATACTATAATTAATAGTTTTTTTTTTTGCGTATATGCTACTATCCAGATCTCAACCCACAGCTGCCACTCAGTTGTACATATTCTACAATCAAATTCAATTTTAATATTTCACTCACCACTGTCATTAACTAATTTTTCGAAACTATATATTCTTTGGACAACGATTTTAAATTCAAATCATTAAGCCACTTATTAGCATTAACAGAGTTAATCAAACTCCAATAATTCATTATCGGAAATAAGATAACATTTTTTCTAGCGATAATACAATTAAACTCTATATTTCAACAAGCTTAGCAAGCCGGTTTTAAAAAATTAGAGTTCCAAAACTAGTTTTAAGTAATAAAGCAAGACAATAAATGTAATTACTTAAAATCTAAGAAAATGAAAATGTGCCTCAAACTTAGCCATCTATATTATATATAATGTCAATATCCCCATATGTAATAACTCAACTCATTCTTTCAGTCTTATAAGAAAAGGGAAAAAACTTGTTAAAAAAATTTAGGAATACTTATCAACCTCCTTTAAATTAAATTAGAGTATGGAGAGCGTGGTTATATATTATAACTAGCCATTTTCCCGGTAACACCCAATGTCACCCTTAAGTTGTACATTAATTTTTAAAGATATAATGATCATATATTAATCATATTACAAGTTCTTCTAATTGTCTTATTAAAGTACCCAAGAAGTTATAACTGCTAAAGAGCTATTTTGCAGCCATACAATGTTGTGCTATTGCTATCATCTGTCATGGTATACCTGTACCCAATCACTACAGTTCGAGTAATCGATTTATTAATATCAACCAAAAGTCTAAAAAATCTATCTTTATCTATCGAAGACGAAAATTAGTCTATAAAACATGCTCAAGATATTATTTATAAAAATAATATAAGATATGTGATACAGATAAACGATTTAGAAATTTCAACGAAAATATTGGACTGTCTTTTAAAGCCTAAACTACATCAATGGTGAAAATTAGGGTTTGAACAAAATGACTATCAAAACAATGAAAGAACTATCATATTTGACATTCAAAAATTACTAGGTTTAATAATGAGCCCAAACAGCCGTCATGATCAAGATCTTCCACACTTGAAACAAATTTAAATTACAGACTAATTAGTAATATAATTTTTTTTACTATAAATAAATTACACGTGCTTTTTTTTAAACGGGTCTATCTATAAACAGGGATTGGGTCTATAAATAATTCTACTCCTAACAGTGATATATTTTTTCAACAAATTATTCCAGTTAAACTATTTTTATTTCTATATTTATAGAATATTCTATAGAACCTATAGAAATATAGGTATAATTCTATATCCACTATTATTACCCTCTTATTCGATTCCATGATACCAAATTTTTTGCAATTATTTGTATATGTTATTATATTAATAATATTGTATATCAATTAAAACCTTACAATATATAAAACTATATGTAAATAATTAATATGTCATAACTAAACAATCCCAAATGAAAGATATTGGTTATAATCAGAATATAGATACTTTTATTAGCTATTTTAAAAAGGGTACTACTATTTATAATGAAAGCATGATAGGATGAAAAAGTCTCTGTTGTGTATCAAAACTCGTAAATAATATTATATTATGTGATGCTACAAATGTTTATTTTGATGTAAATATTTTGGAAAAAACAAGGGTGAAAGTGAAAGAAGATAGATAAATGAAAAAATAGGGAGAAAG